AAACCCTGTCTCGAAAAACCAAAAAAAAAAAAAAAAAAAATTTTAAAGACAGAGTCTTGACCTGAACCCACAGAAATAAAGGTGCTAAGGGGCAAGACTGGAGATGAGAAATAAAGAAGACAGATAGCTGGGCCCGGGAGGTCTTGCATAAGGTGATGACTTCTGCTAAGCAAGTGTATTAAGAAATGGAGCATCTTCTACGGTATTTGTAAGGGGAGAATGGGCCAAAGTAGCAGAGAGCTAAATCAGACAATGTGGGCAGAAAGAACACAGACTAGCTCAGACATGTACGTCTGCTTAAGGCCTGAGAGCCACAGCCCAAAGGGAAGATAGGATCCCCGTAAACCCAGTTTTCACTCCTTCGAGGCACAGGCCCCAGCCACAGACCTCGCCAATTGGACAATGACACAGAACTGAGGTCCCCTTTGTCCTTTATCCAGGCCTCTGGGAAAGCCTTGAATTGTCAGGCTCCCGACAGAGCCTCATGCGCCCAGACTTGATTTGAACTTGCTGTGTAACCAAGGATGACCTTAAACTTACTGATCCTCCTGCCTCCACCTCCCCAGTGCCAGCGTTATAGGCATGCACCACCATTCCCAACCCTGCTTTTATTTATTTTATGCCTCCCCCGCCCCAGTGTAAGATGCATGAGGACAGGAGTTTTATTTTTATCAGTGCCAATCCTTATACTTCAACAGTGAGCAGCACATAGGAAACAGTCAATCATGAATGGGTGAATCAGCCAATAAGCAAGGGGCAGGGTAACAGGGACTACATGTAGATGCAGAGGACCTGTGATCACCGGCGGTTTCAGAATCATAGGTCAGGGGACTGCGTGTGCTGACTAGACTGTCAACTTGACACACAAGCTAGAGTTACTAAAGGAGTGACCCTCAGTTGAGAAAATGCCTCCGTAAGCTCCAGCTGTAAGGCATTTTCTTTATTAGTGATTGATGGGGGAGGGCCCATTGTGACTGATTCCATTCTTGGGCTGGTGGTCTTGGGTTGTATAAGAAAGCAGGCTGGCTGAGCGGCAGCGGTGGCACACGCCTTTAATCCCAGCACTCATGAGGCAGAGGCAGGCGGATCTCTGTGAGTTCCAGGCCAGCCTGGTCTACAGAGTGAGTTCCAGGAAAGGCACAAAGCTGCACAGAGAAACCCTGTCTCAAAAACAAAACAAAAACAAAAACAAAAAGCAGACTGAGCAGGCCAGGGGAAGCAAACCAGTAAGCAGCACCCCTCCATGGCTTCTGTATCAGCTCTTGCCTCCCAGGTTCCCAACCTATTTGAGTTCTTGTCTTGACTGCCTTCGATGATGAACTGTGATATGTAAGTGTAAGCCGAATAAACCCTTTCCTCCCCACATTGTTTTGGTCATGGTGTTTCATCACAGGTTACAATAGTAACCCTGACTAAGGCAGTGAAAGAAACAGACCAAAGCCAGGTGACTGGCGCGTAGGGAGTGATATCCAAGGTTGACTTTGGGTCTCCCCGGGAGCATGGACACAGGAAAGGGAAGGAGGGAAGACTGCCACCCAAAACAGGGTTTTGGTAATAACTTTCTTCATATTTTACTCAGCAAAAAATGCATCAGGATGTGGAGTATGGTGCACACAACTTTGTAGCTTGAGTTTTCCTGCTTTGCCCACAGTCAGGACAAATCTTTGTCACCCGCCAGTCCCACAGCCGCTCAGACCCAACCAAGTAAACACAGAGACTTATATTGCTTACAAACTGTATGGCCGTGGCAGGCTTCTTGCTAACTGTTCT